GCAAATAAATCTACCATCACATGAACGGTAGACTTATTGCTACCTCATTAATGGTATTTTCGTAAATACATTTTTTCTCTTCAAAGAAAATAAGGCTAAAACGGGTATTAATAGTTTTTCAAGGTTGTTCGAGTAATTTTCAAAGAATATCATCATTTTGGTCAAAAATCAACTTTGTAATATTGTTTTAGTAAAGCTCCCAATAGAAAATTACAAACACAAAGACTTGACGAACAAGATCCAAAATGCTTAGAGAGAGATAGGCTTAACGAACACTCCTGATGCCACGGGGATTGTTTTGACCAAACTTTTCCATGAACCATTCATGTTTGTGTGAAGTGAATATATGTCCGATCACCAATCCGCAGAACAAACCAGGTCCATAGGCGATTGCAGCCAGTGGCGAACCCAAAAATTATTTTTTGTGGGTTCAAACCAAACCAAAAATTAATAAAAAAATATTTCATAAATCGTTCTAAAAAAATATCATTCTACAAAAGCATCCTATGGGTCCAATTAGGTTAAATATGTTAAAAGTGTTTAGCAACTTGCTGGATTCATCGCCAGATTTGGTGGGCTTTAGTCTATGGGTCCAAATATTTTTTTTGTGGGTTCAAAGAATTAAAAGTTAGTGGGTTCAATATATTTGATCTATGCTACTAATAAAGAATTTTTTTTTTTTGTGGTGTCAGCTGACCCCACTACCTTCAACGTGGGTCCGCCCCTGATTGCAGCTGCTATCCAGTTAAACACTTGTTCTGGCTCAGACGAAAAGGCCTCGGGTTGTTGCGATGGTGCGACAGGAACAGGGATTTCTCCACATATATCCTCAAGACCAGAGAGTCCGAGGTTGTCTTCATACGAAGAACACTTTTGTCGTTGAAACTGCGTACCCCGCGGCACATGACCTTGGAGAAGGTTGTGGGAAAAGTCCAAGTATGAAAGGAAGGAGAGGTTGCCAAGATCATTAGGAATTTGACCTGTAAGCTTATTGCGAGAGACGTCTAATGCCTCGAGGTTTGTTATATTCGCCAAGGATGGTGGGATATTGTCTGTGAATGCATTCCCTGACAAGTTGAGAAGACGCAACCCTTTCAACATGCCAATGGATTTAGGAATCCGTCCTTGGAATTTATTTCCTGAAAATTCGATGGCTCTGTATCCAAGAAAGATCCGCGGAAACTCTGTTTGTACACCTTTATACATCATAACCATCGAATCTGGATAAAAGTCAGCATTTCCCATGTGTACCGCATATAAGCCGTCACTGGTTTGATAATAACTGGGTTGACGTAGCTGCACTGACACCGATGACATTTCAAGCCAATCCGCAAAATAATCCGGTGGCAAAGTTCCATTGAAGCTATTATCCGAAATGTCCATGACTCGCAGAGTTGGAAACTCGAAAGATGCATTGGAGCTATAGATTGGACCGTAAAATGCATTTGATCCGAGAAGAAGAATAATTAAAGATTCCAAAGAATGCAACCAAGATGGAAACGTGTCCTCGATCTTGTTTCCTTTCAAATTCAGAAACCCCAAAAAGTTGCAATTCACCAAAGATTTTGGAAGCTTCCCAACCAACTGGTTTTAATTTTATTTTATTTTTAATGTAAAATGTTCTAAAATTTGAAAAAGGTAAAATTGAGATTTTATGTGTGTTAACTGGTAGTTACTATATTTTATTTTATAAGATGTTAGATAGTTAATTATAGATAAAAAGACTAATATATAGGCTAATTTCTTTTATGCGATCTATGGACCCGAATATGTTTTTTTATGCCATGAAAATTCTGCAAGAGAGTTTACCTCCTTTTCTACTTCACAGACATATAAATACATACAGAAATTTAGAGATAATAATTTTAGAAGTTATACATTTTGAGTCTCCAAATTCCAAGGGGTTATTAAAGTGGTAAAATGTGTCATATATGGTGCAAACTTTTGTAATACAAAATGGTGAGACCATACACCAACAATGTGTATTACAAAACCTTTAAATAGAAAATTACAAACACAAAGACTTGACGAACAAGTTCCAAAATGCTTAGAGAGATAGGCTTAACGAACAATCATGATGCCACGGGGCTTCTTTCGACTAAACTTTTCCATGAACCGTTCATGTTTGTGTGAAGTGAAGATATGTCCGATCACCAATCCGCATAACACGCCAGGTACAAAGGCGATTGCAGCTGCTATCCAGTTCAACACTTGTTCTGGCTCAGACGAAAAGTCCTCGGGTTGTTGCGATGTTGCGTCTGGAACAGGGATTTTTCCGCAAATATCCTCGAGACCATCGAGTCCGAGGTTGTCCTCGAATGAAGAACAATTCTGCCGTTGGAACTGCGTACTCCGCGGCACTGGACCTTGGAGAAGGTTGTGGGAAAAGTCCAAGTATGACAGGAAGGAGAGGTTGCCAAGACCAT